TTAACAGTTTAAAAAACAAATCAAATTTAAATAAGGTTTTTTTTTTACCTAAGTCAAAGAGAAAAAAATCATCGTCAAAGAGAAAAAAATCATCGTCAAAGAGAAAAAAATCATCGTCAAAGAGAAAAAAATCATCGTCAAATAGAGTTCTCTATTTGCGATCATTATGTTTTCTCGCCAAAAAACTTTTTTTTATTTGTTTTTAAATGATGGCTTATATAGATTGGGCAAAACAATTTAAAGGTAAAAATAAAATAACGAATACTTTTTTAATGAAAATAGCTTTATATTCAGTATAAAAAAAGGTTGTCACTATTCAAGTCTCTGAGGTATTAGTTGGAGGGAGCCAAATCTGGTGAATACCATGGATAGTCAAACAACTTGTACTTTAATTCGTTTACTTTAACCAACGTCAAAACACTTGTATTATGACGCACGGCGCACAGTCGAGTATTTCAAGGTAAAAGTTGATTAAAAGTCAGTTACAGGAATTTTACAAAAGTATACTATTAACTATATTTTATAAAAAATTTATAATGGCTTCATCACTAAATAACAATTTGAGTTTTGTCCACTCCCCCTTTCAGATATAATATTAATTAAAACTCTAACTACGCAGTTTGAAATTGTTTATTACGCTTTTTTTCAAATAATACTTTTAAAAGACACATCTTTTAAAAGTATTATTTAAATTTTTATATAGTAAAATTTTTAATAAATCACAATAAACGTTGAAAAGGAATGTATGTGCTTACAAAATAAATGTATAGCTTCTACATTTTACTTGATAAGGTGACATTATTGTTCATATACATTCAAGACTAAAAATGTTAGATATTTTTTTGTAAATACTATTTATTCAAAATTGTTTTCGTATTTTAGTTAAGCCAAGTTTATCTCAGATTTTGGTTGTAACTTAAATATTAGTTTCTAGTAAAAAAAGGCGGACGTGTATTTACGAGGTTAGTCACTAAACTGAAATGTATTCTGCTTCTGCGTTACAATTTGCTTCAAAAATTAAACGGAGAAAAGAAAAACCAAATGAAAAAATCTCAAAAAAAGATAGTAGAATGTTTAAAGATGAAGGTCTTTGTCTTCTTTAAGATGTTAGAGTGACATAAGCTTTCTAGTAAATTATTCGAAAACTAGCAGTTGAAAATGGAGTCAATGTATATCTTCCATATAATGGTATTTGGGATGCAAAGCTGTTATGCTATATATATAGGATGCAAAGCTGTTATGCTATATATCTGTCTCAGATTTTTCAGCTGAAATTAAACTGCAAAATTTGGTAGATCATACAGCAAACAGAATATGCGTGGCACAGTATAGTGCCCTTAGCAAAGAAGGCACTCCAGATAGACTTTTTCGGAGATACAAAAGAGGCTTTGATGGTGACACAGAACAGTACATATATAAACAAATATTGCAATAAAACAGTGACAAAAAATTTTAAAAAAAGAGCAGGCATTTTTTATTATTTGTCTATTGTCATTGGATTTCTGTGGCTTTTTAAATGGAAAACGGTATCCAGCTTGGCGAAATCCACGACCATCGTCAACAAAATACCGTAAATCTCTGCGTTATAAATTTAAAATATAAGCGGAAGCAGTTTCTAAATCAGAAGAAAATCTAATTAGGCTTGAGATTTTGAACTTGCAAGATACTGAAGTTGATACAAGCAATAAAAAAATCAAAATACATCATATAATACAAATTACTATGATTGACAGAAAATTTCACACTGCTCTTTCAGATGTTAACAATTCTAGTCAACGCTGTACTATATTTGAGGCAAGTCCCAACACAATGAATGATATTGACAACTAGTTTTAAAAAAAGGTTTGACAGACAGTTATTCATTTGGTTTATCATCCTTCCATGCTTGGATACGTTTTTTTTTGAATGTTTATTACATATTGGATATAAAATGACTTTGAAAAAGTGTCAGGAAAGAAAAGTAGAAGGTAAATCTAAAGTAAAGGATCTGTAGCAACAAATTCAAAATAGGTTTAAAGATGAAATGGGCTTGATAGTTGATGTTCCAAAATCTGGTAGTAGTGGAACATCAAATGATGAAAATATTGCTCGAAGAGCATTTTAAAATGCAAAATATTTGCAGAAATTTTAAATATTGAAGTTGAGCTGATTCTGAATTTGCATGTTGTATTGGCAACATTTTCATATGTCATGTCAAATTTGAGGCTCGACTTTATGTTCATCATTATCCTTGGTACTTTTTTATATGCCACAGCCTATGCACAAAATATAATCCATGGTTCTAAAATTATTAAAACTTTAGCATTACCCATTGGTGTGTATTCTGAAAAAGCACGCAATATGACTTTCAAAACTATTGTGAGCATTTTGCTAGAAAACCATCTCGTGTGAAAACTAACCAAGATTTGTTAAATCAACTACTGTGAACATCTGATCCGTTTATTATCTCCGAGAAAGACAGCAGAAAGTTACACCAAAGTAAAAACCTACCAGCTGGAGTTATTGACTTATTGAGGTCATCCACAGATGATATTCGTTTAAAATTGTGTCTATTGTAAATACAAACTAATTTAATGATTCTAATTATATTAGAATCATCAAATTAGATTGTATACTAACTTTAGAAATATTTGTCTAAAAATAACCCTTTTAAACAAATCATAAATATTTGTTGCAATGTAGCTGGGTGCATTTTATGTGTTGCTAAACACACTTTTTGTGTGCATTGCATTACTTAAATATGTGTTGCTATGCACACAAAAAAATAACCATGTTCATTTAAACTATACTCATCTACTTACTTTATATACCAATTTTTAAGGCCTATGGATAAAAGGAAAAAAAGTTATGACTTTTTTTCCAAAAAAATAGGAGTCTGGCCCACTGTGTTTCAGTATGCTTCGTCGTAAACTCGTTTTTTTTTAAAATCTCGATTATTTGCTGAATATTTAAATTTCACGCATGGTTTTTGTGACGGTATTCAAAACCTTCAATGTTTTCAAGACATGCACTATAATACTCTAATACTTTGATAACTTACACCTAGATATAGTCTTGCAGAAGTGTTATAGTCCTGTTATAGTCTTGCAGAAGTATTCTCCGGAGCTGTTGCCTATCCTTTCAAAACTATTCGAAAAGTGCTTATCAGAGCCTTGTTTTCCAGCCTGCTGGAAAGCAGCATCTGTTATCTCTATTTTTAAAAATTCTAGAGTGCGATCTGATTCGTCTAACTACCTTCCCATTAGTCTTCTTCCTATCATAAGCAAGGTTTTTAAATTTTTAATTAACAAACACTTAATCTCTCATCTTGAATCTAATAACTTACTTTCTGATCATCAATATGGATTTCGATCTTCTCGTTCTACGGCTAATTTGCTAACAGTAATAACCGATAGGTTTTATCGCGCATCGATAAAGTTGGAGAGATTAAGGCCATCGCTCTTGATATTTCTAAAGCGTTTGATAAAGTTTGGCATGCTGGTCTTCTCCATAAGCTTTCTTCTTACGGTGTAACTGAAAACATCTTTAAGTTTATTGATTCCTTTACTTTCCAATCATAGTATAAAAGTTGTTCTTGATGGACAGCACTTTTCTGCTTATTCTGTAACCTCAGGGGTTCCTCAAGGTTCAATTCTTGGCCCTATACTCTTTTTAATTTACATTAACGATCTTCCAGATATTCTCACATCTAAGGTGGCATCGTTCACTGATGATACTACCATTTATTCTTGTCACGATAAGAAGCCAACTCCCTCTGATTGCTTGCAGAGGCATTTGAGCTTGAAAAGGATCTCACTTCTGCTACAGCTTGGGGCTCACAGTGGCTGGTGAACTTTAATTCAGATAAAACTCAATTTTTTTTTTCAACCAATCGTTATCGCAATAATTTAAACCTTCCTACATTTATGAACGGTAATGTACTCGATGAGTCATCTACCCTTCATCTTCTAGGATTAAGTTTACTTCTGATCTTTCTTGGAAACTTTATATTAAATCCGTTGCAAAATTAGCATCTGCTAAAGTTGCATCTCTTTATCGAGCTCGACACTTTCTTACTCTGGATTCTATTCTCTATCTCTATAAATTTCAAATCCGGCCTTGTATGGAATACTGTTGCCACATCTGGGTCGGATCTTCTAATAATGTCCTTTCTCTTTTAGACAAAGTGCAAAAACGCATTCTAAACATAGTTGGACCTGCTCTTGTAGCCAATCTTCAACCTTTTTCACATCGTCGTAATGTTGCTTCTCTTTCTCTTTTATACAAATACTATAAAGGACACTGCTTTAAAGAGCTAGCGTCTTTTGTGTCATCTACTAAAATTCATTCTCGTTTTACTCGTCATTCAATTAAGTCTCATCCTTTTTATGTTACTGTTCCTAAGTGCTCCAAAAACTCTTATTCGTCTAGTTTTTTTCCTCGAACATCAGTTCTTTGAAACTCGCTTCATTCATCTTGCTTTCCTTATTCATATAATTTGAAATCTTTTAAGTCGTCTGTCAATCTTGCTCTCTCTTCGTCTGTCAATCTTGCTGTTATCTTGCTCTACAATCTTCATCTTTTCTTTTCCAGTCAACTTCCAACACTAATTAGTGGTTGCTTGCAGCCTTGTTGGAAGCAAAGATGTTAAAAAAAAAAAAAAAAGATCGTGACAAACACGTTTCTATAAAGGAAAATTAAAGTAGAACAAGTTTTTACAATAAATAACTTTTGCACTTTAAAATGTCAAATATGCTTTGTTATTTTTGACAAATATAAATATTCATGGGATCGTCCGTAAATTACGCGACGAAAAACATATTTAAAAAACAAAAGAAGGAGATTTTAAGCTCTTTTACGCGGCGATTTTCATTAAACTTAATTGGCTTTTTTGATTTTTTAGTTAAATTAAGACTCTGCGAGGGAAGCTTTTGATCTTTTTTGTTTCGTTTATTGTGAAAGTTTGCGTTATGTAATTTATGGACGATTCCTAAATAAACAAACTTAGTTTTTAGATCAAATATAAGAAATTTTTAATTCTCTGCAGTTAGTGTTGAAGTTCTTTACAGTCAATGTTCAAATTCTGAAAAAGTTAACATTAATTAATTTTATCGTAGAATAGATGATTAAAACCAAATGGTCGATCAAGGAGTTTGCGATGAATTTGATCATTTAAAGGGTAATTATTTTTAAAATAACTACTACACAAATAATTTTTTTTATTAGTTGTTATTTTCACTCTCACATTTTTCAGTTGAAAAACTTCCCCAAGAGGTGTTGTACACGCTTGCGTATGAATTGCCTTCTGATTGGAAAAAACTTTCTCGCAAATTGAATATTAGTAATGAAAATATTGAAAGTGTTTTGAGTGAGTCCACGAAAGCCATTGATCAAGCCTATGAAATTTTAAAAAGTTGGATTAGAAAGAATCCCGATAAAAAATGGAAAGAAATTAAAGAAGGATTGCTTTTTTGTGAGCGAGGTGATGTCATTAAAAAATGTGAACGAAGTAAGTTTTTTGTTGTTTATTATAAGGAATGAAACTATTTCATGTACTTAAGGCATGACATATAAATAAAAAGTTAATTTGACCAATAATTAATTTAGTTAAATAGTTATTTTTTGCGTCATGTTAAAGTTGAAACAAATCTTGGAAAAACTTTATTTTGCATTTATATTTCTTAAAATATTTCTTTTTATATTTCTTTATTTTGCATTTATATTTCTTTTTGTGGGAAAAATATTTTCACATAAATTATGAAACGTTATTTATATGATTGTATCGTAGCTTTGGAAAACTTTAAAATGCTTTAAAAAGTACACAAATAAAGACTCGATTTAAGTCTTCGAATGGAATTCTTCCCATTAACCGAGGAGTAAAATCATATCAGGTACAAAAATATATAACAGTTTATTTTCAAAAGTGACTCAAGGTTTAAAAGCTCGTAACCCCGATTATTTTACTATTTTGTAAAACTGCATTAAATATCGTTATGTTATTTAGTAATATTAAATTTTATATTTAAAATATATATTTAAAATCATATTATATAAAATTATATTATATAAAAAGTTAAATTATATTAAATAGGTACGTGAGTAAAAATTTTAAACTGTTTGAATAATATAATGTTATATATCATTAGAAAGAAGATTATTGTAGTATTTTAAAGGTAAAAAAATTATCAAAATTGAAAAATCGGTTCAAAAGTTATGACGGTTTAAGTACCGATTTTTCTATATATGGATTTTTTGAAGAAACTGTGGTCAAAATAATGTTTTTCTTCACTTAAATTATTTTAACTTTGTCAATTCTTGTATAAATACAAGTATCTTGGTGTCAAAAGATAGGTGTAAGAGTGGGCTACAACCTTATGTTAAACTCTAACCACCGGGCGTATCGGATGGACAGAAGGGGCACGAAACCACCATCTTGTTCGTGTGAAACTGAACACTTTTTTTCAGAAAAAATGTTTTTTTTAAGACATAAGCAATATACAAGTGGTGTTTCTATTACGGGAGGGGGAAAAAACCATTAAAAAAAAAATATCAAAAAAATTTTCAATTCTTGAAATATCTGATTGAACATTTAAAGTACAACAACAAAGAAGTAAAAAACAGATTCCACTAGATTAAAAGGTACATTAATGGTGCGTCCATGGTCATAAGAGAGTAGAGTATAAGAGAGGTCCTATCCAAATATGTCATGGGGGAAGAGGCATTCTAATACCCGTTCCCCCTCTAACCAAAAATTATTAATTAATAGGATATATATTAATAAAAAAATTATACAACTACTATTATGTGAATATAATTATAAGTCAATTGACGCTCAAAAACATGTCATCTTTATAACCAAGTATAGCAAACACCTAAATTAAAAAATTAGGCAAGTCACAACACTAACTGTATTATTTATGCAAGTCACAACACTTGCAATACATTTTTGGCAAGTCACAACACTTGTTGTATTATTTATGCAAGTCCAACACTTGCTATATAGTTTAGGCAATTCACAACACTAGCTGTGTTATTTATGCAAATCACAACACTTTCAATACATTTTTGGCAAGTCATAAAACTTGCAGTGTTTTTAAATTCATTAAATTGTAACTCACCAGAAACAACATCAGCAGCAAGCTGGATCTTTTTTATGGTATAGTCAACAGCTTCAATATCAGTTTCCTCATTCTAGTAAGAAATGATGTAAATGAAGTCATTTTTTCTTTTATTAACTTTTTCTACACTGCCACTTGATTTTTTGTCATTGGCAAATCTCACCTCTTACTTTACATCGATGCAGTCAATTTGTAAATCTGTTTTTACGTGTTTCATTAATTGACCAATCTTTTCTCTTAAACTTAAATTCAGAGTGTCTAGATAGTCGACAGTCCTATTCTTTTTTGATCATAGTTTGCAAGAGCAAATTGTTGCATCAGGAACCCGTACTTTTGCATCACTAAAAGTATCCATTAATTCCTCACTGTCTATATTGTGAAGCCTTGCACTAAATGTTTCCTCTTTAAATGTCTCCGTCACAGTAAGTGAAGCTAGTAGTAAATGACTAAATGCTAAAATATTAAATCATATAATAGGGGTATAACTGACTGATCTTCTCTAAAGCAACTTCATCTAACCAAAAATTAAATAAACTTTTTTTTTACAAAGTAATATATTTGCATATTCTAAATCATTTATATATATATATATATATATATATATATATATATATATATATATATATATATATATATATATATATATATATATATATATATATATATTAGCACAAAATTCGGTTCCGTAAAACGCAATAGCCGCGTACCTAAACCTATGAAATCTACTTTTATTAACATTATTATTCAATACGTTTTCAAATGATTAAGAAACATATACATAATCATGTTTAAATAAAAAAATATATACAAGCAGATATTTGTACCTTAAAATGTATGCGTACCTTAAAATGTTGGTAATTGAATTTTGGTCTCTTATAATTTCAAATCAGTTAGAAAAAGGTTTATATTATACAAAGAAGTAACCAAGGCATAAAAGAATATAAATTAAAACAATAAGTCCATTCAATGTTAAGGATACTCCGACAACTGATGATAATCTGTATTTTTTCTAAAAATTAGAACAATATTTTCACTTAAAACATAAAATTCAGATTTAAAACAAAGAATTAAGTTATAAAGACTGTATATGGAAATGATCAGTAGTTATTAGGACTATAGTTACTATAGTTACAGCGTACACAAGGTTAGGGTTAGGGTTACCCTGAAGTAAAAGCATTTAACCGCAATTGTGATTTAATAGATTTTTTGTTAAAGAAACAGTTTGTTTAATAAATTTTTTTTTGTTAAAATTAATTAAAGAAAATAAAGTTTAAAAATTTAATCATATTTAATGTTAAGTTTTATATTTCTATATATATTATAAGTTTTATATGGTGGATCCATGGTAAAAAAATGCAAAAAAAATGAATTTTTTTTTTAATTGTTTTTATTAGATAAACTACCTATCTTTAAGAAGAAAGTGGTTTTTATACATTGTTTACATTAAAACACTATTAAAAGTAATAGATTTGACATCTTATCTCAATTGCTATTCATAGCAACGCGCATAGCAACCAAAACAGCTTGTCAATTTTTATCTTTTATCTTCTACAAAATAAAAAAAATTAAAGTCTGTGCTACTTAAAATATATCTGCTATGCGTTTAACTATTCTGTTATTTGTATTTCATTTGTTTTATTCGTAAATTACTATAACTATTAAATCTTGTGAGTGAGTTATATTTGAGTTATTGAGTTAGTTTTTCAAAACTATTAAATTAGCATATTTAAAAACCTGTCTGAAGATATTTTGTTTGTTGAAAGCTTTAAATGGCTAACAAGAGAAATAAAATAAGAAGAAAAATTAAACGTTTATATTGTGGCAATCGACACACTTGTACTTCCTCACTTCCAGAAAACCATGTTGTAAATAATATTGATACGGTCACATCATCTAGAAGCTCTAAGAAACTTAAACTTTCTTTATTTAATTATTTTTTTAAAAAATTTATTTAAAAAATTTAATTAAGAGCTCGTAGAAAAAGTTTCATAGACAACGAAAAAGAAACTGAAGATTTAGAGTCATATTCTGCAGGAAATTATTAAATACTAAATTTCTTTTGCATTTTTCTGCATTTTTTATATTTTTGAATGTAGTAATCTTAGAGCAACTATTGCTCTGGATCTGCATATAGTTAAATATTCAAATTTTCAGGAGTTGTTTATTATACTTTAAAGTAGTGCCTGAACTAAGATCTTCAACATAATTATTTTTTTTAGTGACAAATTTGTATTTCCCTATCGAGTTTTTGTCAAATATTTGGAATATTCACTAATATAGCAGCCATTTTGAAAGTACATAAAAATATAAAAAAATCCTAGTTCAGGCACTTAATCTATGTGTTTTCTCCAATTTGTAAAACTTTTAGCTTGATTGCATGAGTTTATAAGTAATAGCTGTTTTGCATAACTCACTTTTTGTGTATTTTTATGCTGGCTCAGCATTTTAAAATAGCTTTTTTTATTTTTTGAAGAAATTTTCTTTTTCATAATATGTTTTTGTTCATATTTCAACTTAAAAAAAATTGAAATCAAGAGTATTAAAGATTTTAGTTTTTTTTACCATGGATCCACCTATGCTGTGCTATTTTTAGTGCTATTTACACCTATATTGTGCTATTTACACCTATTTTTGTGCTATTTACTATTTATGTTATTTTATGTATTATTTATGTGCTATTTACTATTTATGTTATTTTACTATTTATGTTATTTTTGTGCTATTTACTATTTATGTGCTATTTTTGTGCTATTTACACCTATTTACACCTATTTACACCTATTTTACCTATTTTTGTGCTATTTACACCTATATTGTGCTATGCTATTTACCATGGATGCCACCATGCTAATAAACTTTCAATCGCAAAATATGTTCATTTTATATATAATGATTTTTGTTTATTTATTTATAGTTTTAAAACAATTAATTTTTTTATCACCTTAAGAAAGTACTTATGATTAACTGTTTATATAAGTATTTCCTCATCATAAAATTTCGAGATCCAGGGACAATTTTCCTAAAAAGAGAGGAAGTTAACATTCGACTTACACTTAAATATTTTTTATTTAAGTGTAAGTCGAATGTTAAGTGTATATATTTAAACATTTTATTCACGAAATCGCCACTTGCAAGACCTGCAGCTAAGGATATGTTTGAGACCTGTAGTTAAGGATACGTTTTTTTTCAAATTTAGAAATAAATGGTATTTTAGTGTTGAAGTTTCTTTTATGCATAAGTTCTTTCGTTATCTTTAATTTTTTAGATTGATAAAATGAAAGAAAGTCGATTAGAAATGATTAAATAGGTTACGAGCAGTAGACGAATATTTTACCTAAGGCAAGTTCTTTAAAAAAAATTGGCAATATAGTTTTTGCTTTGTTTAAGCACT